GTCGCCTACGTCAGGGATTGGAGCGTGAAGGTCTGCATGGGGGACTTCAACGTGTGCATGTTCCAGCTTGTGTCCTGGTGCCGCAGTTGCGGCCTGACTGTGGACGTCGCCGCGCGGACCCCCTGGAAGACAACAGGCGGCCGGCCCAGGGCAGACAGCATGGCGATTCTGTTCGTAAGCTGCCCTGGGCAGTACAAGCTTCACCATGGCCTGGGTGTTCTGCACGACCGCGAGGGCGGGTTCTTGACGACCCAGCATGATCCGTCGTTCGATGTCTTCGACTACACGAATGGCCCTGGGAAGATGCTTCAGACTTACGTTCCCAGGGCTGAGGCCGTAGAAGACAAGACGCGCGCCTTCCTGGCGCCACCTGGCGAATCCTCGGCCGCAGTTGCGGATTTCGAGGAAAGGGTGGCGCGCGGGGCACGCGAGGAGTTTGCGCCTCGTCCCTTCAGAGTGAAGCAGGGCAAACTCGACGACAAGATATGGCATGGCGCCGTCGGCAGGGCGAGGCACGGGGCGCACTTCCCCCTGGTGGCTTTCACGCGCAATACGTGCCGCAGGTCACCTGAAAGACCCGCCGCGAGGTTGGAAAGGCACGCGCAGAAGAGGGGCAGGGGGGCCAAAGAAGACGGCAGGAAGGGCGGCAAGAAGGGCAGCTACGCACACGCCGCAGTTGCGGGGAAGGGCGCCCGACCCCAGATGGAAACCGCAGTTGCGGGGAGAGGCGCCGGGGCTGAGCGAGCAGAGAACGCGCCACCGCCGCAAGCTGCCAACGGCGACGATGCGACCCCTTCTTATGCCGCAGTGGCGGCTGGGTCCTGGGGCGCGAGCGGCAGCGGCGCATGGGAGGCGCGCTGGTGGGACTGGCGCTCGAGCGGACGGGGTGCTGATGGCGCGCAGTGGTGGCCCTCTGATGAGGCCGCAGTTGCGGACAATGCCCCTGAGGGCTCGCCTCCTCAGCGCGAAGTCGAGTGGGGCTCGAGCGGGCGAGCGGCCGAGCGCCACCCGTGGACCTGGGAGGCGCAGCGTTGGTGATGGCCGCAGTTGCGGGCAAGTGGAGCATGGTGTTGATAGCCGCAGTTGCGGACAGTTGACGCAGGACAAATCATCATCAACATCATCATATCATCAGCCTCTTGTGAAGACGTTCAAAGCAGTGCCGGGGGACTGCTTTGAACGCGTTCAGAGCAGTGCCGGGGGACTGCTTTCGATCGCCCCCTCGAATCCGTTATAAAGGCTTTCGGATTATTTTGAATGCCCGAGCTGAGCAAGTTGAGGGCGAGAGGCTGAGGCCGAGGCAGGCTGAGGATGAGGCTGAGGCACGCCGAGGCAGGCTGATGCTGAAGCTGAGGCAGGCTGAGGCCCAGGCAGGCGGAGGCTGAGGCTGACGCAGGCTGAGGCCGAGGCAGGCTGAGGCTGAGGCAGGCTGAGGCTGAGGCAGGCTGAGGCTGAGAGGCTGACGCTGAGGCTGAGGCAGGCTGAGGCTGAGGCCGAGACAGACTTAGGCTGAGGCTTAGGCAAGCCGAGGCAGGCTGCGGCTGAGGCTGAAGCCGAGGCAGGCTGAGGCTGCGGCTGAGGCTGAGGCAAGCTGCGGCTGACGCAGGCTGAGGCCGAGGCTGATGCAGGCTGAGGCTGAGGGAGGCTGAGGTTGAGGCTGAGGCAGGCTGAGGCTGAGGCCGAGGCAAGCCGAGGCAGGCTGAGGCTGAGGCTGATGCTGAGGCAGGCTGAGGCTGAGACAGGCTGAGGCTGAGGCAGGCTGAGGCTGAGGCCGAGGCAGGCTCAGGCCGAGGCAGGCTCAGGCCGAGACAGACTGAGGCTGAGATTGAGACTGAGGCTGAGGATGAGGCCGACGCAGGCCGAAGCTGAGACAAGGTGGAGCTGAATGGGGGGGTGCACGGGGGGGGGGAGGAGGGGGGGCTGAGGCAAGCTGAGGCCGACGCAGGCGGACGCCGAGGCAGGCTGAGGCTGAGGCTGAGGCAAGCCGAGGCAGGCTGACGCTGAGACTGAGGCTAAGGCCGAGGCAGGTTGAGGCTGAGGCTGACGCAGGCTGAGGCTGAGGCTGACGCAGGCTGAGGCCGAAGCCGGCTGAGGCAGGCTGAGGCTGAGGCTGAGGCCGAGGCAAGCTGAGGCTGAGGCTGAGGCAGGCTGATGCTGAGGCTGAAGCTGAGGCAGGCTGAGGCATCCGTAGGAATCCATAGGAATCCTTAGGAATCCCTGGGAATCCTCAGGAATCCTTAGGAATCCGTGGGCATCTTTAGGAATCCGTAGGCATAGTTAAGCATCTTCAGGAATCTTCAGGAATCCTTGGGATTCCCTAGGATTCCTTTGGGATGCCCAGGAATCCTTAGGAATCAGGATTCCCATGGATTCCTAAGGATGCCTTAGGAATCCTTAGCAATCCTTAGCAATCCTTAGGATTCCATTGGATCCTGAGGCCGTTGCCGCTGCGACTGTCATTGCGAATGCGACTGCGGGAACAGCAGAATTCTACAACTGGATTCTCACCTGAATCTTAAGGGGAATGCTTCCAGAGATGCTTATACACATCGTTGTTAGGTTGCTTCGCCGGGATAGTAGCACCTTTTTTGTTTCAGAGTAGTCGGGGCATTGCCAGAGGACATCACCTGCTACGCCAGAGGACGTGGAGGACAACATCAATGCGGCCCTGAGGACGATGAAGCGCAACAAAACAGAAGCTGACGACGGAATTGTGGCAGAGATGTGGAAACATGCAGGGCGAAGTTAGATCGCTGTTTTGGTGGGCGCGTTCTGCGACTTAGTAAATGGTCAAACGACTGCACCAGGCGCTTGGAACATCTCATAGACAATCGCTCGATTCAAGAAGGGGGATGTAACGCTACCGAAAAACTACCGGCCTCACAAGCTGTGCAGCGTCGTGATTCTTCTACGCATCGAATCGACCTTCGAAACGAAACACACTCCGGAAGAAATGGGCTTCAGACCAAAAAGCAACATGTGTGGATTCAGGTTAAAGTTTCAGAATGGTCAGCGAGAAGAGCGTGGAGCCGGGCGAGTTTAATTTGGCAGCCACCATAGAGTGGGATAGCGCGTTTGACAACATTTTGTTCTCAGCTGTATGTTCTGGCCTGCGCGCTGCTGGTGTGCACGAGATCAACATCCAGGCAACTCAGAGCATTGGCAACAATCGATTTGGTTCAAGTTCCACGCGCTGCAATCATTCTTGTTTACGCATAGTGTTTCTGAGGTGCGGCGTCTCCGTCTTTTCGATGCCACGGTCAGAAAGATTGCTTTCAGGCGTTCGGATACGTGGAACCTCGCGGTGTCGCAGAAACGCCGGTTGCGCACGACGCAGCGAACCATGGCCATGTCACGGAAAGCGGTTGTTCCCAGAAGACGGCCAGACGAAGATTATATCACATGCGTGAAGAGAGGGGCCGACGCATCGGAGCGAAAAGCCGTGCACGCAGGAGTATTTTGTTGGTTGAGAGCGCATTTGTGTGCAACGTGGAGATGGGCAGGCCGCCCCGCAAACATGCGCAATGACAGATGGGCAAGAAGAGCCACGGTGCGGAGGCGCGCGAAACGGCGGAACCACCAAAATAAACCATTGCTGTCGCGGGCGGTGAGACATCGGCCAGGCAGAATTCGCAGATAGGTGCACGAATTGGTCATGTTTGCACGTGTTGGATCAATGGACCGATGCAGCCACCACCGCTGACTGGGACAAGCACGAACATGAACTCGTGAACTCCCCATGGAGATGAGTGGTGAGTGCGCCGCGGTGATTGTTCCGTGTGTTCCGAAGGGCCATCATGCTCGCGCACGATTGTCGCCCATCTTTGGGTCGGCCTCTGTGGCGATGGCAGTTCGTTCGTTCTGGCTACCTGTTGCGTTACGACGAGTCGGACGATGCCCACTTGCAATTTCCCGGTTTCCACCCCCGTTGCTCCCTCACTCCGCCGCTCTTGAGGCAAACTTGCATTCAGGTTGCGTGTCGATTAGTCGGGCGATGCTCAGTTGCGGTTTTTTGTTGCGATCGTCGGTTCGACCTTTCATGAGTTGGCGCCGCCTCAGGCCTCTGGGGTTGTCTTGGAGCATTCTGAGGAGGCGAGAACGCCACAACCCTTACCACAACTTACGGGTCGTTCGTGAGTTTTGCCTCCCAAGGGTCCTCTTGGAGCTCTCTTGGGCCGTCCCGGGGTCATTTTGGGACTGTCTGGGGGCCTTCTTGGGGCCCTTCTGGCCCGTCTTGGGGCTTCCGGGCCTCAGGGAAACTCTTGCGACAGGCCCTAAGAGACACGCGACACCCCCAAGGAATCCGACAATTGAGCCTCTGGCTCCTTTCAGGAGTATTCTCGAATTCGACGTCTGAAGATTGTGGCGTTCAACTCAGTGCCTCGAGGTATGGCGGCAGGTTATTAAGGAAGAGGGGATGGGGAAGATGGGGAAATTGGGGGGAGGGAGGAACCCGGGCGGGCGGAAGGGAATGAGGGGGAGGAGGAGGGGGCAGAGGGCGAGGAAGAGCCAGCAGAGGCTGAGTTCGGCCGCGCGCATCGGCGGCCGCGTCGGCGCGCACGCGGTCCGCTCGCCTTGGGGCTCCTCCTCGGACTTGAGGGCCCCGGGGCGTTGAAAGAAAATGAGGGGGTAGAAGACCAGGCGGAGCAGGAGGAGCAGGAGGAGGAGGATCAAGAGCAGGAGCAGGAGCAGGAGCAAGAACAGGAGGAGGAGGAGCTGAGGAGCTGAGGAGCTGAGGAGGAGCTGAGGTGGAGCTGAGCAAGAGTTGAGGAGGAGCTGAGGAGGAGCTGAGGAGGAGCTGAGGAGCTGAGGAGGAGGAACTGAAGAGGGGGAACAGGCCGAGGTAGAGGAGGACGAGGAGGTAAGAGGGGGAGGCAGAATGCCAAAGCGGGTAAGGACGAGGAGGGGGCGGGGCGCATCAGGAAGAGGCAGGCCCTCGAGGAACCGCTTGGTGCCCGACACGATGCCGACTTTCTTGCGCCCGCGTCCGCGCGGCCGAGGTGGCTCCGCCGCGGCGGCGGCCGCGGTCGTGGCCGCCGACACGCAGGCGGCGGAGACGCAGCTGGACGCGCTCCCGCCCCGGGGATCGGTGGTTCCAAGGTGAGACCCTGAGTGGCGGGGCCATGAGTGAGAGGTGCCTCGAACAACGTAGATCCACCTCTGGGTCCCCTCTTACCCTTCAGGCCCCGTCCCTCAGGACCCCATCTCTGAGCCACCGAGGGGAGGGTCCGCATACGTCGCCGCGGCTCACGTCGCCGCGGGGAGGCTACTGGGCCAAGGCTTCTGGGGAGTTCGGGGCGTTTCTTCGGGGTCTCGTCTCGGCGGCCGAACGCGGCACGCTGAGCTGGCCACGGTTGGCCCTGAGCAGGGGTCCAGAGGGGCCAAGTCCGAGGTCGAGGATCAGAGAGAGGGGATGGGGCCAGAGGGCCATTGATGCAGAATGGGGCCACCTGGCGAGCAAGAAAGGAACAGAGGGGTCAGCCTGGAACAGCAGCACTGAAACAACAGAAAGCGGCATTACACCAAACAGCGATTTTTATTATTGAGCCCGCAGGGCGGGAGTCACGGAAGCCCCCAGGGAGAAGTGTGTACGCAGATTTTGCAATCAGTGGGTGTTCGGGATATCACCTCGACGAGGGTCGGCACCAATCATTGCAATGGGGGGCTCCATGGGCCGTCCTGGAGCGTCGGAAATCCGAAACGGCGAGTCAGAAAGGGCGTCGGGAGACCGAATTTACCACATGTTAGACGCTTCGTGTATCCCCACCAGCGCCTGCTTGACCCTTGCGACGGCGCGCTGCCGTACCGCTTGCGCTCGCGAGCGAAAAAGTGTATCCCCACCAGCCCATCCAGGAAGGATGTCTAGGCGAATTGAGGTGATCAGGGAAGTGCAGGAGCAAATAGGTGGACGGTCGAACCGTGCGATGCAGGGAGGAGGAGAAGGAGGAGGTTGCATGGATATATGGTCCAGGGCTTGGGCCCCCCCCCCCAATGCTGATGCCATTGGGCCCCCCCCCGCGCGATGGTCCCCTCCGGCCCCCCCTGTGGGCGTGGCTTGGTACTGCGCTGCGGTTCCCCCCCCCTGTGGATGTGGTGTGGTGCGGTGGTGGTTCAGAGGTGGGCGTGGCGTGGTGCTGCGCTGCGGTGCCCCCCTCCCCCCCCTGTGGATGTGGTGTGGTGCTGTGGTGGTTCGGAGGTCGTCGTCGTCGTAGTCGTCGTCGTCCTCGTCCTCGTCCTCGTCGTCCTCGTCGTCCTCGTCGTCCTCGTCGTCCTCGTCGGCGTCATCGTCGCCGTCGCCGTCGCCATCGCCGTCATCGTCGCCATTTTGGCTCAAGACGGCACCCTGGCAGGACGGGCTTCCTCCGAGTCGTGGTCGAGCTGCCCGCCGACCTGAGACGCCGTTCTTTGCTCGGCCTGGCCCGAGCTCTCGCACTCCCATCGGACCGCCAGAGCCTGGAGCGCGCATTTTGCTGCAGCCATGCTCGCGCCTGCGCCGCCGCCCCCTGTGGGGGTGGACCGGATCCGCCAGAGGACGGGCGAGCCGCCAGCCGTGGAGCTGGACGACGGGCTGACGGACGCCGAGCCGCCCCCCGCTGCGCCAGGCGGAGGCGGCCAGGCCCCTGTGGGAGGAGACGCTCGCGTTCAGCTGCCGCCGCCCCCGCAGGATCCCTCGCATATGGCGTTCGCCCAGTATATCATCAGCTCAGTGACCACCAGCAGCAGCGTGACGGTGGACGCCGTTGAGGCCCAGGTTTCGTCGCTGAGGACCACGGTGAACGCCAGCTCGGCCTCCATCTCTTCTATCCAGTCAGAGCAGCGGGCTCAGCGCGCGCGGCTCGACGCGCTGGAGGCGGATTCAAGGGCCCCGTCGTCAAACGCCAGCACCGCCGCTGGCTTCGGTGCTCCTCTGCGACCTGATCTGGGAGCGGGGCAGGCGTGCCAGGCCGACCCGTGGAGCGACTACCTGCGCAGGGCCCCTGGTGACCAGAATCAGTTTGGGGCTCCCCAGACTCCTCGCGGCGGGAAGAATACGAAGCATGTGGACTTCGTGGCAGGCTTCCCAGGCACTTGGGACAAGGACGAGGTCGAGGCCCACCTGAGATCGAAGTTGAGCGAAAGGGCGACTCTCGAGTCGCAAGGTATCACGGAGATCTACGGAGTAGGGCGTTTCTGTGATCAGGCAAAGGTGGTCTTTCGTTGCAACTGGCAAATGTGGAATTTCATGAAGGCATGGATGGGTAGGAAGATGCCGTGCCAAGGAGCCAAGAACGACCAGTTGTGGCACAAGGTGGACCAGGAGCCCCACGAGGTCGAGCTCTCGCGGCGAGTCTCCTACGCGGCGAGGCTGCTCAGAGAGTGCGGGGGGGCCAAGAACCTCTGCAACGCGGACTCCAAGATGAAGACTTCCGACGGCGACTGGGGCCGCGGCCAAGTGGTCTTCCGCCGCAACGGGAGTGAGAGACCGATCAGGATCCTGCAGCGATCTCGCGCCACGGACTTGATGGAGATCTGCTCCGAGCCGCTGGCCAAGGCTCTGCTGGGCCAGGAGCTGGCAGAGTTCAAGCTTCCAGAGCGGCTCGGGGAGATCAACGACCCCCCCCCCCCAGGCCATAGCGATTCAAGTCGAGGGGCCGCCGCTTCGCCTGGGGCGTCAGGGACCTTGCAGTTCTGGGGTGGAATGTAAGAGGCGTCCGTGGAACTAGGAGGCGGCAACAGCTCCTCGATGACCTGCGCGCAGAATTTGATGTACGTGCTATCTGGTTCCAAGAATGGCGCGTGGCTGGTGGGCCCGAGCAGCTCTTCGATGGCTATGTCGTTCATGTGTCGCCCCCAGCGGGGGCCTGGCAGAGATGCGCGATTGCGATCCGCGAGTCTTTGGTCCCATCCATCGTGAGCTCCCCGAGCTTCCACGCTCGCACCATGTCCCTGGACTTACAGCTGCCTATCCGGGGACGTGTTCGGCTGATCACCAGCCATCAATTCTCGCATATCGTTCGTTGTGAACACGCTGAGGCCATTGCACAGCTTAGAGCGCGTCTGATTACAATGCCTATTGATTGCCATGCCATTGTCAGCGCTGACGCCCAGGATGGCCTGGGGATTGGAGACGGAGAGACGGTCGGCCAATACTCGGCTACCAAAATGACTTGGCGGGGCGAAATGTTGTTCGATTTGATGACTGAAGTCGACTTGGTTGCTACCAACACCTTCTCTCGAGGACAGTGGGGACAGGCTACATGTTACTACGATAACCGAAAGGAGCCAGGCCAGATAGACTTCATGCTGTGCCACCGCGACTGGCTCACCTCAGTGACGTGCCAGGCCCGCTTCACGGATGCCGAGCAGAGCGATCACCTCCCCTTGCTGCTACGCTGCCATGCGTGAAAGGCCACCCCGACGATCGCCGATGCCGAGAAGGCTCTCGGGGGCGCTGACCTGATGGAACGGCCGCCGCGCAAGCCCGTTGCTTGGCAATTAGAGGATGCCCACCTATTCAATGAGACGGCATGCTCGACTCTGCGGATACCGCACTTCCCGACCGCGATGGATGGCTTCACAGAGGGCGACCTCGCGAACGCGCTGGGCATCTTCACGGACGGCTCGGCGCGGGGGCGACGGCGTGGACAGCGCCAGGCCGCTAGCGCAGGTTGAGGTTTCGCCGTCTACCGCGCCGCCATGCCGCGCGACCAAGACGAGCCGATGGTCGAGGCGTGCGGCCCTGTGGTCACCAACCACCTGGACCCCCGCTTCCTGGGCGCCTGTGCCCTCACGGCGAACGCGGGCGAACTCTCGGCGATCGCGGAGGCGCCCCCGCGGCTGCTGGGCCAGCGCGGCCCCCTGGGGCCGACGGCCCAGGACGGCGGGCCCATCCAGATCGTCACCGACTCGACGTACGTCCAGGGACTCCTCACTGAAGTTTTTCAGCCACGAGAGAACGCCCCTTTGGCGATCCTGGCCGTGCACCTGTGGAAGCGGGCCGCCTCGCATTTTGATGTGCGCATCCGATGGGTCAAGGGCCGCAGCGGTAACCTGGGCAACGAGAAGGCGGACCTCTGGGCCAAACAGGGCGCGGACAAGCGCTTCGACACCGCCTATTGGAGACGGCCCTGCCCTGCCCATGACTGGGGAGCCGAAGAGTACCGACGACGAGTTAGTGAACATAAGCTGGCAGAGACTAGAGCACGCAAACGTCGCTGCTCCGAGATAGCCAGGGAGGATGGCGGCGAAACCTTCGCGCAGCTCTTCAACCCGCAGCCGCGTATGGCCGCGCGCTCCAGACAGGGCGCCCCGCCCATTTCCGCGCTGGCGTCGGCGGTCTCCCCTGGCGCAGCCGCGGCCGGCCACGTCCCCCGGCGCGGGCGCTGGCGCCCCCCGCAGGGAGACCCCGAGCTCCTCCACCTGAAGCGCCTGGAGCAGCTGCGCGCGCAGGAGGCGGACTTGCGCGTGCGGCGCCTGCTGGGGCCTACGGTGGCCAAGGCCAAGCGTGCCCTGAGGGGCCGCTGCAACGCGACCCACCTGGGGCGCCTTTGCGAGAAGGGGCGGGCCGACAGACCTCGCCGCTCTGGCAAGCCTGTCCGCGAGCTGAAGACGGAAGAGGGGCGGAGCGCCAGCGCCGTGCAGGCCCGCTGCGGGCTGACCCGCGCCTTCTACGCCGACCTGTTCGCTGACCCGACCAGCGACCAGGCCCTGCCCGCCTGGGTGCACTGCCAGTAGGCAGCCGAGCACCAACAGGAGGAGGCCCCTCTCTCCCTCACTCTGCTCAAAACAGTCATCGGTCAATTAAAGAGTAGCAAATCGTGCGCCGAGTCTGACATGATTGTGGCTGAGATGATCCAGGGGCCCCAGGACGATGTGCTCGAACAGATCCTCGCTGCGTTTCGCCTGAGACTCTGCAACCATGTGAGCGAATGCTTCGACCAGGCCTGGGCGGAGCAGGTAGCCCAGTTGATCCGAAAGAAACCTGAGGCCCAGAAGGTGGCCGAGTTCAGACCCATCGCCCTGGCATCCGTGCGGCTGAAAATCCTGTCGATGATGGCCCTGGAAGTCCAACGTCCCATCTTGGAA